ATCTTTTAAAATAATAATAAGCATTACATGATTGGCAACAATATTTTTTTTATTCTTAATGACAAGGAAAATATGACCTTGACCTCTTAATTAAACGATCAAATAAATGTAATTTATGTCATCACTTAGTGACATTGTCTTCAATCTGTGAAAATTTTATTAATTGTTAAATATGATAAACACGAGAAGAATGCCTCCTTAAACGAAAGCACGAAACCATCCCCTTTTTAATAAGTACTTTAAGATATTATGATAAGTTAAACGAATCCGCACTGACATGATTATGACTATTTTTGGTCTTACAGTGTAGGACAGCAATGATTACAATTAATATATACACTGTATACGTATAATGATGAAATGCCTTTCCCGTAACATTTTGATAAACATCATCAAAGACCAGGAGCGAGATAAAGTGATAGATATTTTTTATATTTTTTTTTTATTTTGCAGCACTATCGCCCTTTGTATTGCCAGAGATCGCAAAATGACTTGGAATTCAACTATTTCACCTTGTTCAGTGAAATGATAGTACTTGTTAGAATATTCGAAATTTTTGAGTGATCAATGTTCATATTGTGATTTGGTTGTAAGCAGGAGAGGAAGTCTGAAAAAAAAGTAAATAAATAAAAATTGTCAATAAACTTTTGAATATATTCAAATGCAAGTTCCATTGCTTTTGCTTCGGTTGTAAAAGTTGTTGTTTCATTCGGAAGTCGTGTTGAGAACATTATTTTTAAGTTATTTTTAAAACACTGCAGCTACTTTATTTTATCTGTATAAATCTCAATTTTAGACTGTTTAGACTTCAATTTTGGCTAATTTCTGTTTGAAAAGAAGGGAATTCGTTTCTAGCTTTTTAAATTCGGTTAAGGATATTTATTAATTTCCATGGCGGTATTTCAGAATGAGTTGTGGGTTTTACATTATCCAACGGTTGATTGGAATCTTTAATATAACTTAAAAGAAATAAAATGAGGTTTCAGTGCTCATTATTTTTTAAAGTAGTTCTCTCCGATTATAATCACATCTGCCATTGTTCTGCCCATGCGCGAATCACGTGATCCAGGCGGTCACGTGACATGCTCCGTGGCTTCTGTTCACAGAAGCTAAAAGATTTTTCCGAGTCTTATATTTCTTACCATGAAAGTTATTTTTTATAACAAAAACGGTCCGTCTGTCAGAAATGGCCAAATCTCGGCAATAGGATGGGTGGACAAGGACATCCCTTCCCAGAATTAGCATGGTGGTCATCAAAACCCGAGTCCTCTGTCTCGGAAGCGTCGTTTATCCAATGTGGATAAAGTATGGACGACTTTTTTTTTAATATCTCATATCTTTAAAGTCTAAAGTAAACGATATTTTAGGGATTTAATAATTATATTATTGTTAAGATATTCAACTATTTTTCTAATTGTAACTTGGCGATCTGTCATAACAAATTGCTCAACTAAGGACACATCTTTTCCCCAGCTTGCTTTCGCTGGGCAACGGAACAAACATCATATTTAACCATCTCCTTGCCTTTACTAAAACAATCAATCCAATTAATGATTGAACTTCTGGTAAGTCTTTTGTCTTTATAAACCTTGTACAAATTATCATATTCTACTGGAAAGGAATTTCCAAGATATACGTTAAACTTTACAGCCGTTCGTTGCTCGAGTACGACTGAGTCAACCATTTTTTGTCACAAGTCACCTACATATTGACGTCATTTTCCCATTGTGACGTCACAAACACGGAGCAAAGCATTAAATAACACCTGCTATTAATAGAATATGTGTATGACTATATGTGTGCTAAATGAATCTGATCTGAACTGTGGTTTTGTAAATATAGAGATATAGTTCGCGAACTTTTTGATCACCCCTCGTAAATCTTAAACCAATTGATTTTATTCATGTTTCTTTAAATCATGTAAATCTTCATGCTGCAAATGAAAAACACAGCCATTGCCACTTCACAGGGACAATTTTTTCAGTCTCAAATAAACTGACCTGTGATGATTTTTGTCTATTGACATCACAGATTGAAGATTCACGTAAATTAAACAAATCTGAGGAAACATTTTGTAATTCATTATTCTTTATACTTCTTTTTACATGCTTGCTGTGGAATATTCTGGGGCAATCACATTCAGACTGACCATTGAAACCTTTTTTGCAGTTTAGGAAGTAGAGAAAAAGGAACTTCATAGAGTTTTTTTTTACTGACTTCTTTGCTAAAAGGGAAGGTCTATATTTTTCAGAGGTGGGATTTCCATATTTATATAACAATGGATTATATTTGTTCTCATTTTCAGGTTATGTGTCTGGGATAAAAGCAATCTTTTTCAAAGGTGCTTGCTTGGCAGTCTAAGGGGGCTTGCAAAATGACTTGCCACAATTCTAACCCAAAATAGGAAGTGTCTAATAAAACACTGAGAGGATAAAAAGTCATGCAACTGCTTTTTATTTTTCAGCTGCTGCTGAGTTGTGCTACCAACTTTTAGAGTTGGGTCTAGTTTTAATTTATTGGAACTGATGGTGGCATATTTCTGCCCTCTACATGCAAGACAAATTATGCAAGATAATTAATATGTCGACTTGCGACTTATTTATGTCAACATGCAAGATAATTATGTAGACATGTAATTTATTTATGTCAACATGTAAGATAATTATGTTAACATGCGAGATATGTATTTTAACATGCAACTTATTATCTTGCATGTTGACATAAATACCTTGCATGTTAAAATGTAACTCGCATGCTGACATAAATAAGTCGCCTGTTAACATAAAAAAGTTGCATGTTAATATAATTATTTTGAATGTTGAAATAAATAAGTCGCATGTCTACATAATTATGCTGCATGATAACATAAATAAGTCGCTTGTCAACATAATCCTGTTGCAGCTTGCTTGTATGATGTCGTATACTTGCGTTAGTAAGTAATTTTACCAACATTAAAATTAGATTCCAAAAAAAGATTGGTAACTTTCATGTCAACATAATTATTTTGCATGTTGACATAATAATCTTGCATGTTGACATACTTTTCTTGCATGTTAACATAATTTATCTTGCATGTAGGGGGCAGAAATATGCCACCTGACCATATTTCCTACATTTATATCTTCTGGTGTTCTTTTCATTTCAGGCGATTAATAACTCCATTGAGTATATCTGAACAGGTTCAATTTTATCTTTACTTTCATTTTCAAGATTTTCTTCACTATCTGATAAATTTCTACATGTAATATCTGACACAATTGACAGACTTCCGAGTTTGGTTTCAATATGAAGTTGGTTGTCTCGTAAGACCTACAGATTGAAACCCTAACTTAAGAATTTTCAGTGTCTATAATACCTGCCACCCGCTTGTCAACCTCAGCCTCTGTACATGTGATACTTGCAGAGCGATCCCCAGTAAGTCTGCGATATGCATCACGAAGGAAGACTGTCTTACTATGTACTGAGTATAGATCTACCAAATAAGGATAAAAACTAAGGTGCATTGCTCTGGTATACTGATCTATGAATTAAGGCTGTATGAAGAAATTGGTTCATGAAAAAAAAAAAAACATATCGATCAAAAATTGCATCAATTTTTTTTATTGAACTTTAAACTTTTGTCGTGCTTTAATTTATAGATAGATAGATAGATTATATATATATATATATAGACTTACCTTGATTTTGGACCAGGTAACACTGGCCTGGGTGACAGAATATCCTCTATGATAGTTCCCGATACATTGGGTTATGTTCTTGTCCTTTGCTATCTTAAATAATTGCAGTTTTTCTTTGATTTTGAAGCAAACTCCTGTAAAACTTTTTGCACACACTCGGTATTTTTATTTCATCTCTATTCATATATGACTTTCCGCTTAATAAAAGTTTGCTGCAATAATGTAATACTCTTCTGTGGGGGTACAACTCCAGGGGTGCAAATGCGGGAGTGATTCACTACCACCCTTTTTTGGCTCAAAGTGACTATTTTATTATGATTCCGTATCTTAACTTAAAAATGTAGTTAGGCAAGACATAAATTAATCCAAAATTTTAATGAATACTCCATATATCGCTTATATTTTTCGTGTTTGTCAACATCACCACTTGAATTATCCGCCATGTTTACCGACTCTGATCAAACGAGAATTCGAGAGCATGGGAGCGGATCTTGTGAATAAATATATAGGAATCCCTTATCTAATTACGCTATAAACGAAAAAATTCCAATCGAATGTATTTACTTACAGATATTTGAATGACTTGTCTCTTTTTTATGTACATAAAATACGATTTTTTTAATTGTGAATTTCAGCGATGTTCCTTTTTTATTTTAATCAGTAGGTCTATATTTAGACAGACATAGAAAAACACACATTACACAAAAAATTTATATCTTATATCAGTTTTTTTTTTTTTTTTTTTTTTTTATCACTTTGAGAAAAAGTGACATCGCAGGATTAATGATGGAAGTTGAAAACGATGTGTCTCATAGGTAGATAACAGTGCCCATAGTGATATAATCCTCATGTTTAAGGTTAAGATTTTAAACCAGAAGAAAAAAAAGAATCCTTAAATGTTCTTTTAATTCAGTTCTAACTAGCCATACTAGTTAAAAGTTTATTTACCATGTTTACTTTTTAATTTTATTGAATAATCGAATAGTAATGATATATCTTGATTAAATACTGCTTTTTCGATGATAAATAATTGATTTCTTGATCATATCAATCAACATAAGCCAAAGAAAAAGAATACCCCCTCTTGAAATTCATGTAAAAGCAATTATGCTAATTTGCGAGTTAACAATTGCCCTTTTATATAGTAATTTTCGAACAATTTAGCCATTACGTAACTAACATCAAATGTTTTTCTCTGTCTTCGACAAACCAAAAGATCTAAAAGAAACTACACATTTATGACGTTGAAAGAATTTAAAAACTATTACATTAATTTCATCGTCATTATCTGACTACTTTGATGTTAAAAAAGCAAACAAGAGATGACTTTTAAAACTACACATTTATTGCAACAGTCAGTTGTAGCAAAATTTCTTCCTTGGGTGGCAGCGAGGGTATCTCTGACAGCAATCGCTAGAAGATTGGCAACTGTAACCATACCAGCAGTCGTAACAGACCTTCACATGGGGGTCACACACATTATACCTTCTACAGCAGTCAGAGGAAGTAGAGCAACGCTTCCGGTAGCATTTATAGTCCGGAAGTTGTTCCCAGGGACGCGATGAGCTGGAAACCCTACAAGACGAAAAATATTATACTGCAGAGGTAAAAATCGAAACATTAAGCTATTAAAATGCATTATCTACCCATTGTAGCGGAAATTAGCTTAATGTATAGAATAACAGCAATTAAAGATCTGAATCATTATTGATTTAAACATGTGCTGACAAAGGTTGAATGACCTTGCAATGGTATATATACTAGAGTGCTGATATTGAAGTAAAGAGCTAATGACTAATTAAATATTGCATAACTTTTCAGCACAACTATGTGCAAACTTGAGTATTTTATTTTGAATTCCATCGAGCTTTCGAGCTAATGTCGATAAAAAAACCTTAATTTACATTTCATTTATAGAAGTATTTGCATCAAATTACAGAGTATTAACTCAACATTCAGACGATGCAGTCAACTTAAGATAAAAGTTCCATAACAAAGAAATAATATGCTCTTTATCTCCCTATGACGAGTTTCACATTTTGATGTTTGATAACTGAATACTCCTCTTGGATTTGACAATAAAGCATAGCATCCTACATCTAAATCCATGATGTTACAATGTAAACAATTCAATTTCAAAACTGACGATTTTAATTATACTTTGACATGGTTATAACGCTGGGGTATCCTAGGCCGTAGCCCTTGTGTACATGTATGTTAGCACTCAAATCCAGAAAAGAAATATGTATAATTAAAACATTTTATGCATTATGTAACGTAAAATACACAAAATATAGAGATATGAAATTTTAAAATGACAATGATTTCGTAAATTAAAAACTCCTTTGAAAGTCACTAAAAATTTTAACCCTCTACCCTAAAATTCATCAACATCACCATGATGCATATAACAATTGATTAACTGTGGAATCAAAATACAGGTATAATCATTCTTAAAATCATTTTACAGCAATTAAGTTCATCTACCTTTGTCTACCTGAATAGCGGTACGAAGGACGAGGTCTACCACGTGACCCATAACCATATGACATCATAGCATATCTGAAAAACCATGGAGAGAATAATTAATATATGTTTAGTTTAGTGCTAACAACAGATGTAAACATGATAAATAAGCGTAGGGATTATATCACTATGGGCACTGTTACCTACCTATGAAACACCCCCTCCCTACCAAAGAAATATTTTAACCATTAGTCGTGATTGTCACTATGTTGCAAAAAAGTAATAGTGATTTGCAGTGGGAAATGTGAAAAAAATCAATGTATATACATGTAAGGTACCTGTATGTGAGGTATGCATTAAGAATAGTTCAACTGTACAGGTAATTTTATAAATTAAATAATTTATCAAATTTGATATCCTTTTTCATATTGATGCAATGATTCGTGACTGTCATGAAGGGTTGATTTAGTAAGTTGTAGATTAGAACTAAGAAAAAAATCTGCAGAAAAGAGAATATGATTGACTGTACCTTTTGTCGGGTACGAAGTCTGTGTCTATTTCATTCTCATTCCCTGAAGAGAAAGATAGGTAATCAGAGATTACAGAGCTCACCTCAACTAATGTTGTCTTTAAGTAAGGCAAAGTCCGAAACTTAACTAATAATCTAGTACATCCCTAGATGCAACATTTATGCAGTTTTGATAAGATAGGGCTTGCAGTTCCTTGGGAATGGGCTTATCCAAAAAATTTATACTAGTCACTCATCCATAAATGTAACTCAAATTCAGCATCTGAAGCAAGTTTGAGAGTGTCCATCCCTTGATGAATCATCCATGCAAGTTTTGGTTCAGATAGGCTTTATAGTTTCTTGGTAATAGACCTGCTCTAAAAACTTTTAACAAGGTCACTCATCTAGAAAATGTACCTCAAATCCAGCATCAGAAGCAAGTCCAGTAGTGTACATTGTTAGATGTATCATCCATGCAGGTATGGTCAACATAGGCCTAATGGTTACTTTAGAATGAACCTGCTCCAAAATTTTTAATATGGTCACTCATCCGGAAAATGTACGTCAGATTCAGCATCTGAAACAAGCCTTGTGGTGTTCGTTTCTAGATGCATCATCCGTGCAAGTTTGGCCATCATAGAGCTCATAGTTACTTTCGAATGAACCTGCTCCAAAAACTTTAACCTGGTAGCTCATCCGGAAAATGGAGCAGTGGTAGAGCGTCCGCTCTGGAGTCTCGGAGTAAGGAGTTAATCCTTACATCGCAGATTCGAATCCCACTGTGGGACGCGGAGACCGGTCCTTCGTATGAGACCATATAAACCGAGGTCCCGTGTCCCAGTAGATGCTGGCGCGAATAAGATCCCTCACTGCTCAATGGCCCTGAGTGCTGAGTATAAGTCAAAATTTGCAGCTCTCCACCGTCAAGTGGTGGCGTCTCCATATGAGTGAAAAACTCTCCAGAGGGACGTAAAACAACAAACAAACATCCAGAAAATGTAGTTAAGATCAAGTATCTGATGCAAGCCTGGTAGAGTGCATCCTTCGATGTACCTTCCAAGCAAGTTTGGTCAACATATGGCTCACAGTTACTGTAGAATGAACCTGCTTCAAAAACTTTAATCTTGTTACTCATCCGGGAAATGCAGGTCAGATTCAGCATTCGAAGCAAACCCGGTAGTATGCATCCTTAGATGTATCATCCATGCAAGTTTGGTCAATTTAGGGTTTATAGCTATAGGTGAAAATGAGACCTGCTCCATAAACTTGAACCTGCTCCAACAACATAGCCTGGTCATTCTTTAGATAAAATTGCAGCATCTGAAACCTTCACTGGTAAAATGAAACAAACAAGAAGCATCTTCCAGGCATCTACCATTACTATATAGGCCATAGAAGTACTTGAAAAGAAATCTGCACCACAAACTTTAACCTGGGGCATCGACGCCGAGTGTATCACATAAGCTCCCCAATTTCTTTGAACATACCAATAAGAAATACATGCAGATTCAATAATATTATATAGCTGAAACCACAAGTAAAAGTTCGTGTGATTTTTGTGCCTAAAGAATATTTTACCTGAAGCCAATGTTGCTATCACTATGACGAAGGCAAAAATAACAAGATGTACCCGATACAGTCCAATAGAGGTGTTAATTCTACTCACTTTCATCATGTAATCAGAGTATGGGTAACAAATGACAACCACTGAAAAATAAACATAGAAGATATCTTATTAGATGATGGTGAGCCTCGAGCAACTGCAACTTATTGTACTGTTGATTTGAAAACCATTTTTTTTTTAATTAAACAGCTTTACTTTTTTTTCAATTTGGATTTTAATGATTGTAATAACGAATAAAGCTGATGTGTAAATAGTTTACAAAAATTTCTAAAAAAAAAAAAAAAAAAAAAAAAAAAAAAAAAAAAAACTTATCGAATGCCGAGAACATTTTTTTAAATCACTTTCCCTTTTTTATAAACTATTGCCCACTATTCTAGCATGTGTATTAAAAATGCAAATTCGACTTTATACCACTTATGGTTTGTATGATAACATGTATGAAATTATGTATGAAATGATATTTGTGAAAAGATATTGCTAAGGAAAATATATCCTATGGGTATGAGGAGGATTGAATGACGTATACTCCCACGGGATTGAAATTCAACTTTCTAAATTTTTTGCAATTTGGGAGTAGTCGCTAGGAATGTGGGATTGGCGGTACACTTAGTTATGAAAAGGTTACGACAACGAACATTGAACGATTTCATAAATCTTTTAAACAATACAAATCGTGAACTGGCCAAAAAACTGACTCCTGGAAACACTAGAGGTAAGATCGGGTGCCCAGGAGGAGTAACATCTCCTGTCGACCAGTCACATCTGCCGCAAGCCCTCTATATTAAAATTAGTGTGAAAACAGTAGCCCAACATTGGTATAAAATTTGTCGTTCATAAAACAATCGAACGAATGGATTTATTATTTTGCAAACAAGGTCATTATATCGACTATGCAGAATTTTTCAAACGCTGACTTTAAACGATATTGTTGAAAGCCCTTTAACTTCTACTCATTTGTCAATAGCCTGGCTCGGTTTACAAATTGATCAGAACATGCTCTTGAGTATCGAATCAACTGGGAGACAGAAACCTCGGTTGATATTAGAACATTACGGCATAACTGAGAAAGGCTGACTGTTGAAAACTTAAGTCATTACGTTTGTCATATATATACTTGTTAGATGGTTATTACGTCTATAGTAAGTAAACCATACTAATATGAAACGTGTTAAACTCTGTAGTGTCTTTTATTTCGAGTTAACTAAGACCTATTGAGTCCAAATATGAATGACTATTGTTAATTTATGAATGTCTTTGATATGTGTCTGCTGCAGATCTCAAACTGAAGGCCACAGCTAGAGTTTTCTTCTTTCAGATTTTTGTATAAGAATATAATAACAGGTTGGCTAACAAAAGAGAACAATAAAGTTCTCACCGGAATATTGTTGGAAGACCTGGTCTCCAAAGGCTACATACAGCTATTATCAATGAGGAACTCTAACATCTTTTTAATGTGAACTGAAGAGTACTTGTGTGTAGAATCGGAATGATTTTTTTTTTTTACAAAATAATTTAGATGACTAATCTCAAATAAAAATTTCCGAGTACCATTTTAATTGATCGAAGAAGTAGTTGTCTATGTTGTCAAAAGTCTGGTCTTTAATTTATTGCGATAAATGGTTGTATAAAGCGTATAAAAGTCATAAGTTTTGATGCTATTGATTTTGGAAGTAATTGCAGAGTGATTTTTGGATATTTCTTTTACAGAAAATAGCATTTCAATAGCTGTACTCAAGAGACAGAGAAGTAATTAAAGTAGGAGATATTTTAAGTGCCGCTAAGCGTGGTCAAGAAGATCGATAACTGCATGATATTTATTAACTAGGTCTTAAAAATTTTTAACGTTATTTAATTAACGAAAAATTGGAGAACAGAGTTTGATCCAAGAATTTGTAATATCTTTTCACTAATTTCTAAAAGGAAGAATATTAGAATTATTTTTAAAAAGTCTGCTACGGCAATAACAAAATACAAGTTCCTTTAGCTTAAAATATGTGTTTTCGAGTTCATATATTGCTTAGAAATGGCCTTACTAATATTTTATTTTTCAATTTATTTAGATATTGCTTACAGCACTTTTATCAAATTGAACATTTTGAACAGAAAGCAAAGAAGAGAATGCGGAAATTCACAAGTGATTCGCTAAAGAAGGCTTCAAGGACTATGTCACTATGGCAAAATGATTTCTCCATGGCCGAAATTGCCCGTGCAAGTCACAAAATGTGAATATGACTGACAACGATGGTTATTGTCTGTACATATAAACAGTCCTTAAAAATACCGGTATCCGTAAGAATAATTCACACATCAAACGTGAAAAGTAAACTAAGTGAAGGCGGATAAGCTGTCAGTGAGACAAGCTGACCTCTGAGAAACACGAGACAAAACCAATAGAGTAATTCGCTTTGGAAATCGTCTATATAGCGTTCTTCAACACAGTCATCACTTTATATAATCACAGACAGTGACTTTCCAGGAAATAAGCTGCAAATATAGTTAATTAAGATGGGCTTTGGAAGGATTTTGTCTTCCAAGATATTGATTCACAAGATTAATGGAGGAACTTCAAAAAATATGCTTTGTGTGGATAGTCTGGTTTGAGAAAATTGAACTTTTATTTATATTCATTGAATAAACTTGATATAAGTTTAATTAGAATCAAATGCAATGCTTTTTGATAAAATTAGGATTTATTAAAGTAATTAAACAACTCACTTTTACAGACATTTGGAATCTTTGGGGTATAGTAAATTGGCATCATATTCACTAATTTTCTTTTTACTAGTATGATAGCTTGTGGTTTTTACTGTAAAGTATGTCTCATATATCATTTTAAATTAATGTAAATTTAATTTTTAAAATGTTAGGGATTTTTTTTTATCAAGTTACTCTACATTATCAAAAGCTGTCTAACATAAGTATTTCTGTCTGTAATATCTACGAAGAAAGAGAGAACTATTAAAAATTTACAGCCTTATAGTACAAGAAACTCAAATTAGCAAACATGCCTTTTTAAGTATTCTTCAGCACAACAAACAGTAAAAGCCGCTTGTCTATATTATCACGCCATTTGTTGTTTGCTGAACGAAATATGTCCAAACCGCGAAGGAAATTATTAGATTGAAAACCTGAAAGTCGCTTCATAAATAAAAGAATACAGCTGGAGATCGGGGCTTTAATGCATAAGATAATCTCGTCAAAGGGTCAGAAGGCTCGCAGAAAAAAAGACAGCCAAAGATAATTTATCCACTGGATATATGATCATCCAAGACCTGAGTGTGCTACATGGACTGAGTGTAGTTAACTTTAAAAAAACATGACACTTTTTTTCTTCAAATTTTGCTGACTTTTGATATTTTTTTTTAAATTACAGTCGACAAAAAATGCAGTACATACTTCCTGTCAACCAGCAATTAGGTGTTATAAGAAGCTGAGTTCCGGTTTGAATCAGTCAAAGGTTCACGTCGTATTACTGAACACTGTTGGTAAAACGAATACATGACCCAAAATAGTGTTTTTGTCACCAAAATTCTTTTTAAAAAGGTCTTGTTGGCCATATTTTAGGATTGATGATGTATTGCTTTTCGTGTTTGTAAAGTTTTGAACATTATCAGGTCCTCTATGAAACGGCATAAAATTCCAATTCTGGAAGATAGTTTCTCGAGAACATACGGAATTTCAGCTGAGGAGTCTAGGTGTTGGATCAAAACCATGAAAATTTAATCTTCAAATCATCTCATCTATTTCCACACACCTGGTTAACTTTTTCGCTGATTTTGATGAGTAAAAAGCTCTCCTACAGTATTGTGTAAAAAAAAAAAGGCTCCTCATTCAAGAATCCGCATCCCTGGGTGGGGCTTTTAAGGTATGAACAAAAAATACATTTTTGAAAATCTTCTTCATTCTTGGACATCTACTAGGAATTGAATAAATAAACTTTCTGTAAGAATTTTGAATTCGTGATGTCTGGTTTAAGGACTTAAGCCACTAGTTGAGACTTTCTTAAAATACAATGAAAATGCTTGGAAAATCTTTAGTTATTCTTTATTTAAGGAATAACTGTCTAATTTTTTGGATTCATGATGTGATCAATCGAGTGGCTTGCGTGGTAATTTGCATAAACGCCGAATATTATAGCCATGTAAGTATCATGAAATCTGGGTCTAACGTTCCCAATGGAAATACTAAGTTATAAATTTAAAAATGTTATACAAGACAATCTTTCCTCAAACACATAAGTATATTATATTATTGCATAATTATATTAAGCATTATATTGTCTCAAATTTGTAGATTAGGAGTTCCAGCTCCTAAGCATGAAACATATGATACTTTTTCTCATATTAAGCTCTCATTTATTATCCAGTGGGAAGTGAATTAATGTACAATTGTAAATACATGTGCTAAGTCTTCATTATGCTCAAAATACTATTATCAACAAACGAATTGAGGCACAATGGGTAAGAAACATTAATCACATTGACTGGATGATGTCCAAGAATTGAAGAAACATAAGATGCTCACACGTAGAAAAAAAAAAGGTTGGACAACCCCGACAGGTAATCCATTGGAATTTATTTGTACATGGTCATTTAAACGAAAGTAAGGGCCTAATTTATTAAGAGGGAAACGTAACAAGAATACAGATAACAAGAAAGTTTGGTCTTGAACTTGATTCAAATTCATTTTAGTTTTGAAGCAGAGTAGCATTACAAACTTGACAAAAGATGGTATTCATGTGACAGAAGATAGTGTTTATGTTTATATTAAAATCATGGCCAATGGACCTTAAACTTAAATGCAAGGCTCTAATTATGATTTGTGGGAAGATAGGTAATAAAGCGAATATACAAAAATAATGACTTGTTCAAAAATTAATAGGTAGCCGCCTGCTCCCTTCTTTGGTGTGTCATAGAAAGTAGGCAAAATGTAGCGATTAAAAGCTCGAGAGAGCAAATATGATTTTTTTTAACTGCCATTAACAGTAAACCATTTAAATATTGACAATGCTTTTAGAGTTTTTATCAACACGTTGGGTTCTAATTGTTTAGAGATACGTGGTGATGTTCATCGCTCCTTGATATTGAAATACTATTTAAACAAGAACTCTGTCAGCTATTGCTGAGGAGTATTCTTGTACAATACATATTGTGTGATGAGAAATCATTATTATTTATTGCCTCTGACTGTGTAGCAGGGTATGTTTACCTTGAAAATGGCTGTTCATTCAATTAGGCAACAGATTTAGGATTTTAGATTTTATCACAAACAGTAATGAATTTGAACTTTTAATACCTAATAGTACATCGGTACGGAAAGCACGAAACATTTCTTTGCTGTCTTTGGAAATAGTTATATGCTTATTTTGAGACAAAACCTTATTTAAATGAGTAGAGTGTATGTTCTACAAGCTTATCAAAAATATGCCCATCGTTTCACGAATTAATGAGGAGCTTTATGGTCACAAAAAATTAAGTGAACAATTGTAAGTTAGATTCTAGAAAATTATCTTATGATAAAAGTTATCTTGATTAAAATTTAGTAAGCTCAAATGAACATATATCGCAAGATTACTTACAATTACGAGAAAAAACAATTACGAATCATTGTGGCTGCACTACATATATTGAAACAGGCAGATGTTCGTTTGTTTGTCTGTTGTTTAACGTCCCTCTTGAGAATTTTTCACTCATATGGAGACGCCACTACTTGCCGGTGGAGGGTTGCAATTTTAATATCTATACTCGGCACTTACGGCCATTGAGCAGTGAGGGAATTTTTTTTGTGCCAACACCTACTGCGACACAGGACCTCGGTTTATACGGTCTCATCCGAAGGACCGGCAGATGTTCGTTGAGCTAACCATGTATTTATTTCTTACGAATTTTTGTTTGAAAATAAACTGGACAACATTTCATACCTTATTTTTCTTTAGTTATAACGAATGTAGGTTACAATATAACGATATTATTATATGAAGGAAACCTTTAAATTGACATCAATTATCAATTCTGTGAATGTTAAAGTGGCTAGAAGATTGTTAACTTTTTTTTTTTAAATAAGTGCCTTGATATTTAAAAAAAAACTTCAAAGTAATATGCATATAGATGTTTGCAGTATTTACATATATTTGTAAATTATATGGTTTGCTGTATTCCATTTTATTTTTTCATTGTTTTGTTGTATTTAGGACTGCATGCGAATGCACAATGGCGTTGTCAATAAATGAACTGAATTTTGGCTTCTTTATTAGTCCCCTACCGGTGAAACCGGAGGGGACTATAGGTTTCCTCTGAGTCTGTCCGTCCGTCTGTCCGTCTGTCTGTCTGTCTGTCTGTCTGTCTGTCCCTCTGTCTGTCTGTCAGTCTGTCCCACTTGGTTTTCCGCACTTTTTTCTTAAACGCTTGCAGATATTGAGCTGATTTTTGATATGTAAGTGTATCTTGATGAGTTACAGATCAAGTTTGCATTTCGTTCCGCTTCATTGATTTTTGACGGAATTACGGCCTTTTCAATTTTTGCGGGTTTTCCGCAATTTTCTTCTAAACGCTTGTAGATATTGAGCTGATTTTTGGTATGTGGCTTTACCTTAATTAGTTATAGATCAAGTTTACATTTCGTCCCGCTTCATTAATTTTTGACGGAATTATGGCATTTTCAATTCTTAACGGGAACGGAACCAGATTACACTTGCCGGTAGGGGACTAGTATTGCTAATGCAATACTCTCAGAATGCTTGTTAAAATGAAAGTTCTTCCTTTCTGTGTGAGAGTAAAAGGACATAGAAAACAAATAAATGTGAACAATGCATAAATGGGTTATTGTTTATTGACATTAAAATAGCATACATCTGAGATAGCCGTACGTATGTACTGAATGATTTTAGAAAATGTTAAATGAAATCCAACAATCCAATCTATGCTGAAAGTTCTATTTCTCATTTCATTAATTTTTCAAAAACATAATCATTTAAATTCAAATTTGCAAGTTATTGACTTCAATTGTCTTTGGCTATCATATCAAACAATCCTTACAGTAGAAAAACAAAACCGAAAAAAAGTATTCACTGGTGTGCATGAATAACCGGATTCGTGTCGAAATCTTATCGATCATCGTCTCATCTTATGTTTTAATTGTGACCTGCACAAAACTTTTGATACTTGGAAATAACACAACCCTTTACACCTTTCTTCGAGGATATAATACCTTAAAATCCTGGTAATCAAGCCGGCTTTCTCAATTTTCCGCCATTTAAAAAAGAAAAAGGGTTGATGTTGAAAGAATAAACTTTGTAAACTATAAACTTCATTTCATCCGTCATCAAGTGCATACCTATTTACCGGGATGGAAATTAATAATCATCAATTATTCCGTAGGGAAATATAATGCTGATTACTTACTTTATACCACTCTTTTACTGTCGCCGACATGTCGGAAACAAGCATTAATCCACGGGTAGAATAAACAGGGATAATGGTAACTTCTTTATCTCTTTTTTCTTTTAAATCGCTATCTCATTGTTTCACAATTCACTTCTGAGTTAAACAGTTTTTCCCCTTAAAACTCATTATGACGTCATGAAAAGTATTGGATCGCGATTTTCCCATTTAGTGTATACGCTTGGGACATTATATATAGCATTTGGCGCCATATTAATCATCTACCAAAGAGAAAGTGCACCTTTTGACATTTATAGCTTTTTCCCAAGCAGACTCCCTTACAACATGCCTGATTTATATATATGCATCTAGCGTTGCATTTAGAGAAAGATTTGCTGGGGCGAATCTCGACGAACAGAAAGACAGATAATTCAATCCGCAAGATGGGGGGGGGGGGGGATTTTAGAATTCATTGAACAAAAATGTTATTTTTATACGGTTATTGATATATGTATTTATTATAAAAACGTTCATTTTTCATCTTTATCATTTGCAAAGCAGTTACAACCTAAAATTTGTCTTGGAGTATTTCTGTTTCAAAGCTTGGTTTACAGCGATTGCTACTACAGGACTGAAAAAAAGTCAGTGAACATTTTTCACAACTATAATTAAAATGAAGAAAAATCCTCGGTGCTATTTTTATATTATTTTTCTTAATATAGTAATTGTCATTGATAATGTAAAGAAGAAATGAAAAACAACACATTGTGCGTAATGCTATCTTTCTAAAGTAAAAAAGTTTTTAAAAAATTTCAAATGGTCAGGTAATTGAAAAAAGTCACGAAAACAAGGAAATTTGGTACGAGTTGGTAGTGATAAAAAATCTTCTGGACCTCGATTTTACGGAGTCTACATGCATATCCTAGTAACACGGTTATTTCTTATACAGTGCAAATATGATGTTTCTATAACATGTTAATAGATTGGTTTTAAAGTTACACCGAAACAAATTCGTGGTTATGGTTTTTAGAAGGTTTAATCAACAAACCTTTTAAAGTTGTAAAATTGTAAATAATATTTCCACTCAAAACTCAAATAATTTAAAAACGCAACACTTACCTTCCTAAGTTAATCTAACAGCCTCAGTAAATCTGAAAATAAAAACCCAAGCATCTGAAAATCAGGCTCCTTAATCGTAGGACTAAATGTCATCAATATATAGCGAGAGACCTTCATATTTAAACACGTGATGTATTGTTGTGACAAATCATTGATTCTATCTTCACGTCAGTGATGCAGCAAATTTTCATGCACACAGTTGGGTAAAGACCCCTATTGGACTAATAAAAACCAGTGTCTCCCCCAGGCATGCAGAATCAACCTACAATAAATTCCTACCTATACACAGAGAAGTACTTATCATTCAGCATCAAATCTAATGATTCTTTTGGCTTCGATGAGTTTCACACCATATTTATTGAGACATTGAATCAATAACAGAAAATTTGCGAAGAAGTCTTCGGTGACAAGTTCGTGACTCTAGATAATTGTTTTAGAGCTATTTGCATATTTATAATAAACACTAAATTCATGATAAAAACAGCGAATGTCTTCGAACTCTTCCGTTTTTTAAAAAATACGAATGGTATACATGTACTTTTCATGTAATTCCATGTTTTAATGGAGTTTCTTTTTTTACAGAAAGAAGAATAAATTAAGATAGGGCAATCTTTGCAATAAATCTTCAATTGTACAATAAAAAAATTAAAATGGACATAAAATATATCATTCCAGTGTTTTCCTGGCATATATATACATGTATATAGCAATAACCTTGTTTCCAATTCACAATTTTCAATATTTGTGATGTCTGCTAAAAACGTAACCAAAAAATCAGATTAAGGGGCAGTATTGTATTACTGAATGTGAAGTTGCAACATTAATAGTGAGCTGAATATTTCAACTTGTTTTGACTTATTTGACTTATTATTCAGATAGCTTCATACATTCGAATAGGAAAAATAAGCCTAAATTGACTTTGTTCTCTTGAGGATAAAAAGATCTTTTTTGAGGGTTATATTGGCTCATGAAAATTGAATTTCACCGTTCATGATGACGTTCATCTGACAGAAGTAATGTTTATTTCATCAATATGCAATACTTTCAAGCTAGAATTGCTTTTCCCAACATACTACATGTAAGAAAATAAAGGCATAATATTAAAATAGCATGGGTTGTACTATATTGTAAAAACACGGTTTAAGTATGACAAATACATACGCTTGACTATGATAAAGTAGCAAAAATAACTTAATCATTATCAGTTTTTGATCCAGAGATTGATTAATTGATTGATTGTATGTTGTTTTACGTCACATACGAAAAACTTTTCGCTTATATATAGACGCCACCATATACTGGCGAAGGGCTTCAAATCAGGACTCAGGGCCACCGAACAGTAAGGGATCTTTATCGTACCAACGCCTACCGTGACAAGGGCTTTGGTTTTTAAGGTCTTATTCGAAAGACCCGCACCTTTCATGTCATAGTGCCGAGTGCTTTCCATTTTATCGACTTAGGTTTGTCGCGGCTGAGGCTTGGACCCGCGACCTTTAAATACTTCTAATGCCCTATCAAAGAAGACGTTAGAACAATAACTTTCTGAATTATAAAAAGTCAGTTAAAATTTAATAAAATTTCCACAGTTTATATTTAAACTCAATTTCAAATGACATTAATTGCAGAAACAAGGATTTTGACAATATATATGTCGAGCAATTTGTGAATGGACCGGATGATGAGAGAATTTTACAAAATTTTATTTTAGTAAGCATGGCAAGAGCGTTCGTCAAAACCTTAAAGACGATACACAGAATTATGTGTATCTTAGTATAATCTACTTGTGAACGAAGTTTTATTGAAATCGGACCAAAACTGAAGGAGTAGCGTTTTAACAGATTGTTTACAGGCAGACAGACGGACACCAAGATGGACGGATGATGGACACCTTACTAATGCATAAGCTCTTTTGGTCTCTGACCAGTAGAGCTAAGAAATAGAATTATAGTGCGTTTGCTTACTACGGTACTGAATCAACACAGTTTGGCATAGATGAGTTTAACGTCAACATGAAATATACCAAATTCTGAAAAACAAAATCAATGCGATAAAATATAGATATGCCGATTTGCTTTTCACTGGAGACTTATCTTTCAACACTTTGTACAGTCATGCTTGTTTAAGAACCTAGCCCTGTACATGTATGTCATAACTTAGTTCTGACATAATGCAGACGATAAGAACTCTAATCTCTCTCTTTCTGGTATCAAAGGTTTGTTCAATTTCCATGTAGGAAATGAAAAAAAAAATTAATGCAGTAAGACATACAACGTTTACTGAATTAAGATATGTAGAATAATAATCTTTTTGTTTTAGGACAATGGACAAAATTATCTTAGCCTTATGTTTAGGAGCTGTCATGGGGGTCATCATGTGAGTACAAGTGTATCATTCTGACCCAAAATATTGAACACATGTTGGACAATTACGTCACGAATGTTTACGAAGAATTTATTTATTTCTTTTTTTCTTGTATGTTTTTGATCATCAATACTTGTTCACGAAAACAAAAGGATTGTAATATTGCTGTTTGGAACATTTATTTTTAATCTTCGGATTTATATTTCCAATGACAAACATTAATTCAACGTATAAAAGAATGCGATTAAAAGATATCGATCTGCGCTTTTCAAGCACGTTTCATATTACTCCTTTTTCTTATATAATTAAATTTTATCAGATGATACTTTTTATATTACCCAAACATTTGAGTTAGACCATGTTCCGAACTTTCAGTCTCGCTGCACTGTCGTTGAAATTCCAGTCAGCTAAACTGACATTTGCAGCAGGGATAACCATATTTTTGAAATTTGAAGACAACATATTAACTCATTGATATTTTATCTTTACAGGTAGAAAAATTAATGCTTTTGGTACACTGCTATCGAATCCTCTAACTTTTTAGATGATGCTTGATCAAATTTTCCCGAATAACCTTCACCTTAGATTATTATTTCTTCAAGGGTAAGTGGTCAGTTTCACTTGGGACGTCCTGTTGTTGACAGTCCAGAGGCACGTGCCATTTTTTCTGCTGCTGAAAGAAACAGAACCCCTGATGGCTTTCTTACAAAACTAGAACTAGACGATATCTTTCAGACTTTTGACCACAACAGTAAGAATTGGTTTACAATAAATAAAATTGTTGTAGATATATAAGATCTTTCGTAAACTTTATGTTTTAAATAACTAAAAGTCACCATTTATCAATGATACAAGTACATGTATCTTACTGGGCAATCATTGAAGAAAAGTATTTCTTCTTTTGAGCGTGGTTTGATTAACGATTTCAAAATTAAATGACGATATTTATATTCACTTCCTTAAATTTTGATTTTAAAAAGCAGTCAATAATCAAACTTAGAAATGTGTATATATTATTGTTTAAAGTCCTTTTTTTTCAGTTTCCATCATGCATCTCTGACGACATATTTCAGCTCCTAAATGCAAGATAAATTATAGCAAAATGGAGAAAAGTACGTCTCCATGCCAGATAATGAGCAAACATGCAGATTGTCAACCTTTTAGAGATGGGTAAATTTACTTATTAACGCCATACATCATACATGTACATGCAAGATGCAACTTTTGTGAGTTATTTATGTAAACATACATTTCTGTCGACATGGGAAATAATTATTTTAACATGCAGCTTATTTATGTCGACATATCAGTATACTCGTAAGAGTCTTATGTATACGAATATTGCCATAATTAAGTCGCGTGTTAACATTATTGAGTCACAAGCCAACATAATTATGTCCATGCGCAGATCTAAGGGGGGGGGTTCAGGACCCCCCCCCTCCCCGGAATTTGCAGAGTAATAAAAAGTATATACTGAAGCAAATAAAAAATGACTTCAGAACCCCCCCCCCCCCCCCCCTGGAAAATGTGGACCCCACAATCACCAGTACAAAATAGGTGTTTTGAACGTTTAGGAAATGGATTTTAGGTTGTTGTTTTTTTCTGCTAGTCAAGAAATTTTCTTGCTTTATTTCGTTTGGGATGGAAATTTAGGGGGGGGGGGGAGGGGTGTTTTGTTTTTGCTTGTCGAGAAATATTTGGGTTAGAATTTTTTTTTGACTGGGATGCCCCCCCCCCCCGGAAAAAAATACTGGATCCGCGCCTGATGTCGTAATCTGGTCGACAAAATTAACTCGCATGTCAGCATAAACAAGCATTCTGAGAGTATTGCATTAGCAATACTAGTCCCCTACCGGCAAGTGTAATCTGGTTCCCGTTAAGAATTGAAAATGCCATAATTCCGTCAAAAATTAATGAAGCGGGACGAAATGCAAACTTATTCTATAACTAATCAAGGTAAAGCCACATACCAAAAATCAGCTCAATATCTACAAGCGTTTAGAAGAAAATTGCTGAAAACCCGTAAAAATTGAAAAGGCCGTAATTCCGTCAAAAATCAATGAAGAGGAACGAAATGCAAACTTGATCTGTAACTCATCAAGATACACTCACATACCAAAAATCAGCTCAATATCTGCAAGCGTTTAGGAAAAAAGTGCGGAAAACCAAGTGGGACAGACAGACAGACGGACGGACAGACTCAGAGGAAACCTATAGTCCCCTCCGGTTTCACCGGTAGGGGACTAATAAGTCACACGACAAATTAATGATGTTGAAAGTCGAAAAAAAAAAACTCGGATGTCGACATCAATTCGCATGTCAAAATAATTTTGTTATGTCCATTTAACTAACTCGCATGATGACATAAATAAGTCGCATGTCAACAGAAATTTACTGCATTTTGCATATACATGTATCATATCGGATACTGGCGTTGGGAAGTATATTTACTCGTATTAAACATCAAATTATAAAAAAAGGTTAGGAATTTCTCAACTTTGTTAAATTTTAATCTTGCAGGTTGAGATAATTTATCTTGCATGTAGGAGGGCAGAAATATGCCACCATATGCATCAGAATTGACGCTTTCAACGTTTTGTTTTCTAAGAATTTGCATGAATGTTGTTACGAACAATATCTCTTTTTTATCTTAATATTAGTGGATGGTATTGTGGATGAACAAGAATTCATATACATTTGGAGATCTCGGCATTTGGGCGACATCTCGCACGCCATTACCCTTTTCCATCATGCCGATACAGATCGCGATGACGTCATTTCTAAGGTCCCTGATCTTACACGCGTTTTCTACTATTTCGATCGGGATCGTAAGTTTTTGTCATAACATGCAAATAACTTTATTACTTTATTTAGTAATCAATCTGTTTGTTTATTAACCTTGAGGCCCCTGTCAGGTTATGACAAAAGTATTTCAGAATGGAGATTAGAGATGTTGATCTGCATAATCACCTCGATGAACAATTATCTCTGCCTCTGTAAATAGTCACATGTGCCATTATCCGTTAACAATTTTTTTTCCTCATGGTCATTCATCTGCTCAAACTGAATAATTCAACAAAAGTTTTTCATTACATTTATCAAATACATGTCTATATGGGAATTGATAGGACCTAGAATTGAATTGCTGTCAGTTACAACTGATTACATTTATGGAGAATAATTGTTTCTGTTATCTTCTTGCAGAAGATGGCAAAGTAAGCGAAGAAGAGTTCGTACAAGTGTGGTTATCCTTGTCCATGTAAAAAAAAAGACAAATCAATGAACGATATAACAAAATAAATAGACGAGTGCGAATTCCATTGATCGTCTGTTAATTCATTCTTACATCTAATGTCACGAACACAAACAGAGGAATGACAGTCACAAGTAATGTGTAAAAGGAAATTATCTCAAGCCACCTGACCCGCACTGTTGTCTGATAAGGTTTTCGACAAGGATGAATGTTGAATGGTATCTAATGACAAAGTGCTATTGTCAAAAGACCTAAGCAGCAGTCAAGGGTTCAAATTACCAACTGATCAAATTTTCAGCTCCTGGTGCTTTCAATGGCTGATATATTATCCCGGGTTGTTATTTCTGTTTTAAAACGGGGCGAATGTGAGCACTATTTTTTCCAGTGTAATGCAGCAATTCGATCTAATTTGGTTTTTTTGCATTTTGACGTATTAATTTCTCCAGGGGGACAGATGAAGGGTAATAAACTGCTGAGTAAAAGCAAGTGTCACATGCATCAATGATGTAAATTGTCTTCCTTTTAGCAGTTTACAGCTATTTTGGAGTTTGTTTTATACCTCCACACGCAATCGAAGTAAGATTGTTTATAATAGCTTGTACTATGTTTTTATATCTATTACGAATAGTGCATTGATTTTCTGTAACTTCGTGGAATTTATGATACAAGTTATCTTCCTTTTTCTTGCTTCATGACAATTAAATCCACATCAAATAAAAAGAGATCAGAAATTTTAAGAAAAACAGATGTAACCGTGTATGAATAATGATAGTAAAGCTTGAAGTGTAGCTTTCTTAATTAATTTTTTTCTTTGAAGAGAAAATTAAAGAGTATTTAAACATTTATAGAAAATGTTATGGTCTGAGAAAATTATATAGAGGATGCATTTTAAAGTTTTTACAGTTCCTTTCAACATACGGTGCCTGCCATATCTCCCCAGGAAAAGTATTCAAAAACAATGAAGTATAAAATTCACTGTTGCTTACATTCTGGGGATAAAGTATTCAATAACTTCATAATGGTCTAATAAAATGTTTTTTAACAAAGTTAATTTACTACAGATTGTTCATTTACTGTAGAATTTCGAACTTTTAGCCAAGGACTAACAACTCATGGGCGGATCTAGAGCTCCCCGGCTTTTCAGTTTTAAAATTTCTATTTAAAAGTAAAAAATCTTTGATAACCCCCCCCCCCCCCCCAGGAAACACGGACTCATTTTAGACTTAAACAGTTTTGTGTGTGTTTCATTTTTTCTATTTATTTACTTTTTTCTCTTGGTTTTGTTGTTTGTTTGTTTTGTTTTTTTTTTTTTTTGGGGGGGGGGGGGGTTGGTAAAAAAAAATTTCCGAGTCCGACACGTGGACCCCCTTGGGGAAAATATACTGGATCTGCCCCTGTCATTTTAACTAAAAAAAGTGGTATCGAATTTCTCATGATCTATCTTATTTGACAAAAATTTTTTTTTAAATAATACATAATACAATGTATTTCAAATAAATTAGTGTATGGTGAAAATAAAATAATAAATAAAAAAACGCATAGAATAAAATCCACTTTGGGTTGGACAGTTTAAAAATCAATACATAAAATTATTTGTGAAATCTGAGAAATTTTTGTCCGCCGCTTTTGCGAAAGCGAGGGGACATTAAATCTCATTCGTCTGTCAGTCTGTCTGTCACAAAAACTTCAACCTTGGTCATAACTTTTGAATGAGAAGAGATATGGTTTTCATATTTCACAGGTATATTACCTGTGACAAGACTTTCTAAATAAACTTAGATTTTTTACCCCGTGACCTTTGACCTTAAAGTTTGACATACTTTTAAAAAAAATTAACATAACTTTAAATTGGTCATAACTTTTGAATTAGAAAGGATTGGGCTTTCATGTTACACATGTATATTACCTGTGACAATTTTTTTAAAATGACTTTTGACCCCGTGACCTTGAAGTTTGACCCACTTTTCAAAAATTTAATGTTTGCTGATAACTTTTGATTAAGAAGAGATAGGACTTTCATATTTGACATGTACATTACCTGTGACACGACATTTCCAAATATGCTATGATTTTTTACCCCCATAACCTTGACCTACTTTTCAAACATTTTAACATAACTTTAAATTGGTTATAAAATTTGAATGAGAAAAGGTAGTGCTTTCATATTACACAAGTACATTACCTGTGACAGGACCTTTCCAAATTTGTTATGGTTTATGACCTTGATTTTGAAGTTTGACCTTCTTTTCAAAAATTAATTTAATCTTTCCTTATAACTTTTGATTTAGAAGAGATAGCACTTTCATATTTGACATGTTTCTGATTGACAATATCTATGTGGTTTTTGGAGACCAGGTCTTCCAACAATCTATTGGAATTCCCATGGGTACCAATTGCGCCCCGTTATTAGCAGACCTATTTTTGTATTCATATGAAGCAGAATTTGTTTAAAATCTTTTACGTTTAAAGAAAACACGTGCTGTGGCCTTCAACTTGACATTTAGATATATCGACGACGTATTGTCAATTAACAATGGTTATTTCCATTCTTCTGTCGTCACGCTATATCCCGGTGAGCTAGAGATAAAAGATACCAGAGTCTGACACATCTGTTTCATATTTGGATATTTATTAAAAAAAAACGTGAATGGTAATCTAACAACAATGCTTTATGATAAACGTGATGACTTTAACTTTTCAATCGTCAACTTCCCTTACTTATGCAGCAATATACCCTTATCACCTACATTCGGGGTTTATATCTCTCAGTTGATTCGATACGCCAAAGCATGCCCTAGGTATAAACAATTTCTAAAAGGAGGTAAGCTATTGACAAACAAGTTGATGAAACAAGAATATCAGCAGTCTCGTTTAAAGTCATCATTTCGTAAGTTCTATGGTCGATACAATGACCTTGTCAGCAAATACAATCTATCATTAAGTCAAATGCTGACTTTTTTCATTCTAATTCTTAGGCCATTATTTACACACTTAATTGTCGACGGATTTTTCCGTTATTTCCCGATCATGGCGGGTGTGACCGGTCGGCAGGGGATGCTCACTCCTCCATGGCACCTGATCCCATCTCTGATGTCTTAGAGGTCGTTGTTTGCCCTGCTCCTAATTTGTAATGTTGAATTGACTTTTGAGCTCGAATATTGTTCGTTATCTTCACATATTTCATTATTACCTGCATGTGGCAAGACCTTTTCAAATATACTATGATTTTTTACCCCTCGGCTTTGACTTTGAAGTTTGACCAAGACAATTACTATATGCCATATATAATAGCATCGCATTCACTAAGACACCGAAAGCAGAAGGCCTTTTTGCACGGTATAATTTTTAAGATGCGATTCGCCACAACCATGTACATGTAGGCCGCAGTTGTTATACTTGTTCTTGAAAAACTTTTACCCACCCAACTCATAATGAATCAACAAACATGCTTGGATGCATAATTATCCTTTTAAATCTCTCTCTTTGAGAGAGAGAGATACAAGTATTTTCTAAAATTTACTAATAAAATGAGTTTCTTTTCTTTGCAAGAGTTATCTTTCTTTTTGATGTTTGTTGTGGTCGAAATTACCTCGAGGCCATGCCTGCTATGTTTTTTTTTAAGCAATTTATTATTTTTTATACATTCAGTATAAAAATACGAAAAAAAGAAAACAAACCATCTTAACCACTCTGAATCTATTTATAACTAATTTATTTAAAAGCAAATTTAGGGGATTGAAAGCCATACATCAGGAAAAGTGGTCAAAATTTCACCGAACTGCTTTACCATGAAATTCAAGCTCTGGTTTGCAGTGTTTACAGCCTCATTATTCTCTTTACTCCGATATTTTTTAACATTTGTAAGAGGAATTATAAACTGAAGAAACCAATTTACCTGTTTTACAATCGAAGTGATCTTTTGTTAACATAAATTACATTATGATATAGCTATTAAATAGTCTATAATTAAAAAAAACCCTAAAAATCAAGAGACTTTCAGCGTTCAGAATCTCGGTGTTTTATTGTACGCTCAGTTTGCAAAAGATATACATGTACGAGTATGCCCCAAAACATTCAGAATTCGAACGCCCACACAAACAATTTCGTCTGGTCAACCCCTCAACGACAATATTTATGATGGGTAGTGGCAGCCAGGTTAGATGTGTCTATTTTCACAAAAAATATTAATTAATGATTTAGTACCTATAGCATCAATAAAACCCCCAATAAGCAAATCATAGCACTTTGTAGGATCATTGGAATGATCTGATATTGAATACTTCCAGAACAGACGCTGATATTGCTCTTTTTTAATTTAGATACTGATTAATTATCATTAATTTTGATATATTTAATTAAAATGATTAATATAAGTCAATGGGAAAACGTTTTAGCAATAACAGGAGATATTGAACTTATATTGGTGAATATTGGCACTCGTTGTCGCAACTTGTACATTTGTAAAGCGAACCCGTGCCAACAATCGCCTTTTGCCGAAACTCGTGCAATTGTAAAGTCAACTCGTGCCAATATTCACCAATATAAGTTCAATAACCTTAAAATGTAGAATCCTATTTCCCTTATAGTATGATTGTAAAACAGGCATGTTATCGATGATATTTTGTAGGGGAAAATCCAAAGGTGCTTGAGGACAGGACCCCCCCCCACCCCCCGATATAGACCTCCGGGCCTTTTCGACTTTTTTTCTCATAAATTATCTTTCAATGACATATTTGTGATATAATTTATACCAACAATTCAAAAAATTACCTAAAACAAACATTTTATAAAATCTACCCTACCCTATATATGTTAATTTTTATATATAGGGTAGTAACCTTTATAAAATGGTTGTTTAAGTCAATTTTCCGAATTGATGATATAGAGATTATATCACAGATGGGTCATCAATATCTAATTTATGAGAAAAAAGTCGAACAGACCTGGAGGTCTATATCGGGGGGGGGGGGGGGTCCTGTCCTCAAGCACCTGTGGGAAAATCTTATACAATTTCTCGGAATACGGTACTCTAAAAAACCAATCGCAATTAACCATCGTGTTACAT